ATCCCGCGATCCTTGAAGATAATGCCACGTCGTGGTGAGGCTCCACCACGTCGTGGCCACCCAAAATGAAGGCTTAAAAATATAATGGATTATTTCATACTTGAAATGGGAGTTACAACTCTCCCCCACTTGAATCAGACTTGGTCCTCAAAGTTCTCTGCTGCAAATAACTCTAGATAATTCTCTTTCATTTCTTCCTTGGGTTCCCATGTCCACTCTGAACCCTTCTGGTGCTGCCATTACACCTTCACTAATCCCACTTCGTTGTTGTGCAGCGTCTTCGTCTTCCGATCGAGGATCGCAACTGGTCTCTCTATACAGTTTAGGCTCTCGTCTATCTGAATATCCTCCAATGACACCACTACAGAATTGTCAACCAAGCATTTAGGCAGTTGAGATACGTGGAACGTGCTATGAATATGACTGAGCTCATCCGGTAACTCTAAATGGTATGCAACACTACCCACCCAGGAAACAACCTTGAACGGACCAATATATCTGGGGCCCAGCTTGACCCACTTCCGAAATCGGGTGACACCCTTCCAAGGTGACACAATCAAAGTACCATGTCGCCAACCTGAAACTCAAGATCGGATCGATGCTGATCCGCATAGCTCTTCTACCGACTATGTGCAGTCTGCAACCTCCCGCATATCTGTTGTATCAACTCGGTAGTCCGGAGAACCACCTCCGTGCTATCCATGAATCGCTAACGGACCTCGCCCCAACAAATTGGGGTCCGACACTTCCTTCCATAGAGCATCTCGAAAGGAGATTGATCGATACTGGCATGGTAGTTGTTGTTGTAAGAAATCTCAACCAATGGGAGGTACGAATCCTAACTACCACCAAAGTCTAAAACACATACCTGAAGCATATCCTCTAGGGTCTGAATAGTCTGCTCACTATGACCATCAGTCTGGCAGTCGAAAGTTGTCCTGAAGTGTAGTTAAGTACCAAAATCCTCGTGAAATCTCTTCCAGAATCTGGAAGTGAAACATACATGTCGATCCGAAACCACTGATACCGGGACTCCGTGACGCGCAACTACTTCACGGATATAGATGTCTTCTAACTTTTATGCGGAGATTCTCTCTTGATTAGGGATAAAATGCGCATTTTTGGTCAATGATCCATGATGACCCAAATCGAATCCACCCCTCGCGCTGTCCGCGATAACTTTGTGATGAAGTCCATCGTGATCTCTTCCCATTTGCAAATGAGGATAGCCAACAACTTCATTTTTCCGTCAGGTCACTGATGCTCGACGTTGACTTTCCTGAAAGTTAGACACATCTCCGCATACCAAGCCACATCCCATTTCATGTTGGGCCACCAATAATCAATTCGAAGGTCTCTGTACATCTTTTCCGCTCCCGGATGGATACAAAATCTCGAATTGTGCGCCTCATCCATCAAAATCTTCCATAAACCACCAAAATACGGAACCCAAACCCTCACATGCAAATTCACCAAAACCCGACTATAATAATCAAAAGAGGACACCTAACCCGCTACATGCTCTCTTTTTCGGTGCTTCTACTTCGAGGCCTCGACCTGAGCCTTGCGAATCTGCTTTATTAATGGAGCAATCACTGTCATCCTCAGATACAGAATGTCAGGATAGGAGTCCACGCCGCATTGCGGCTCAAGGCATCGGCCACCACACTGTCCTTCCAAGGGTGATAGAGGATCTCACAATCATAATCGTTTACCACATCGAGCCACCTCGATGCCTCATGTTCAGATTTGACTGGTCCATCAGATATCTCAAACTCTTGTGCTCCATGTAAATGACACAATGAACACCATATGCTAATTAGTAAAGAAGTTTTTAGAAATTCATCATCATTACAAAAATATGTAAATATGTTATATATATATATATATATATATATATATATATATATATATATATATATATATATATATATAT